TACATTAAAGAAGATTACTAACTTTTGCCACCCTTCCACTAATATTCCAGAATATGAACATGCTACTTGCAATCAATGCTCTGCAAGATTGAAAAACAAACACCAGGAAAAAAATATTTATACATCAAAAAAGAAAGCAAAATTAGAAATAAGTAACAATATAAATCAAAACAACATCTTACCTCGTAATAATAACACCTCTAATAATATTGAACAGCTCTATATAAGTGGCAGTACTGAAAATATCCTGGATGTAACACTAGACAAAAGTACTGATGACAATCAGCAGAGCAATAACTCTAAGATACTCCTATACGATTTAGATGAAGTATCTGAAATTGTTGGTAAATATTTTAAAGAAGCAGAAACATCTAATGAACCTGCAAAATTTGCTTTTGAGATTGAATTGAATCAAGACCTTCTTGCTGTGGTTTTACTGGATCAACAAAACTTGGTGTCAGACACACTCGATTTAAAAATAATTGAAGAAAGATTTCACCAGCTTGCAAATATATTTATTATACCGCTCGAGTCAGGTTCCAGTTATTATTAGAAGATACGCAAAATATACCTAAATAGTAAAAAGAAAACATTTTCAGGTTCTGCTATAGTGTATCTCAGCTGTATGATACGGGATGATTGGATCTGGAGAAGACCAGACAATCAATCACCAAGAAGACAAAGTGAAGCTCATGTTTCTATTGAAAGGTATGCCTGCATAGAAAATATCAAACTCACAATAATTCTGGAATAACAATACGTTTTTGTCCAAGATGATCACCAAATGGAACACGAGAAGCCAACATACTGATGGGTTGAATTTTCTATAAAGACAAGAGAATGGATTCAAAATAATATTAAACTCAATATGCGAAGCACAGAAATCTATCACCAGCTTTGCAAGGATAGACTTCTTAATCTAGAGATTCACACAATAGAGCAGGGATATTATTGGATGTCAGTATATAGCAAAACAACTTATATAATGAATCAAGTGAACCAGCTTTTATCAGCAAAGCTATATCTTGAAAGACTTGAACTTACGAAAAGAGAGTTTATAATTCTTAATTATTTGGAGAATGACTTTGTGCAAGTCTTGAAGTTTCTGACATCATTAATTAAATGCATCAGTATCAAGAATATAACCAAAATTATCATAGACTCTACATTTAAGACAAATCAGGAGAGATTTGAACTCTTTGTAGTAAATGTGAATTGTGGTGAATACGGTATGCCAATAGCATATCTGTATCTTATCACATCTAGTAATACCAAGAAAGCTCAGCATGATCTAAGAAATAATGTAAAAATACGAGTCGAGATACTATGAATGTTCTTTATCAGTCTTTGACAGGAGGGGTTGCAGCCAGTATTTATCTTATCAGATAAAGATGTGAGATAAATATCAGCAATTAGTGAGGCTTGGTCATGAATGACCAATATCTAACTTTGTTATTGATATCTTGAGCATGTAATTAATAAATAGCTCAAAGACAAAAAGTCCAAAACAAATACATACTCGGCAGCTAAGGCATTGGAAGCCCATCATAAATTTAACTTTATAGATCTATTGTGGATTCAAGATGGCACCAGATCCTATCATTCAGATAATTTTAGTAAGGAACTTTTAGAAATGATTAAAAAATATTCAAACATGTATCCACTCATACCAGTGACCAAAGATTATTTCCTGACTTTGGAAGAGATCTATCATCTTTGTGTCCAAGAGATGTATCAGTTTTGCTATTTGCGTAATCTTCTAAGATTATAGGATTACCTGTGGTCAAATTGGTACAATGAAAAGGACTAGAAGCTGTTTGCTCGATCTTCATACTCGCTAGCCATGCCTTTTATACATATCACTATAATCATAGAAAGTTACTGATGAGTTCTAAAGTATAATTATAAATATAATTATAATCACCCATGAGTAAATTGACTCACACAAATTATAATGAAGCAACTTGTGTCTGACTATGAAATCAAACTGGTTCAATATAATGGAAATTGTATTTTCCCATCATGATGGTATATGTTCAAAAGAGACTGATGCAAGAATGCTGTAATGGATATTCAACCTGACGTCAAAGAAAGATATTATGTTGATATTAATAACTGGATCTGTTCTTATCCAGCATACTTACGCAGTTGCTATCACCTTTGCAAATATCTCATCAACAAAAAAAATGGTAGATGATTTCTATCCACTTTTTTGGAGACAGCATGATGACATGATTATTTTTTACTTATTTTTGAGAGTGAGAAAGCACCAGTTATTGCTCCAACAAATAATCCCTAGACCAGACTTAGTGCGATAGTAGTCAAAAACGATTTTATAGAAGAAGATAGCTCCAGCTCGAGCAACTTACAAAATACATTAATAGAGACAAACCGTGATGTGATGAAGGAAAGACGAGTGAAACTTGCTCAATATAAAAAAAACTTTGATATTGCGTTGGCATTATATAAGCGGGAGATGGATAATGACGACTTTATTAGTAACTTTGATGCCTTGGTGAGGCCATTTGTGAAGGAGGTTGAAGGGTACAAAGAAGCATTACAAACTCATACTCAACAAGGTACTTGGAAATCAAAAAACGGAAAGCTTGCCTTTTGGTTACATTAATTTTTTTTATTTTATTGAAGTGTTTTAATTAAATATAAATACGATGATGACAAGGAGTAATTAAAAGTTTTTTGATTATAATGATTGCATCATAAATGTAGCACATTAGTAAACACCGGACAAGGATCCAGATAGTCAGAAGGATCGGAATCACATGACCCATAACTTTTTTTTCGCCATGGCTAGGGTACTTGGAAGAGACTGGGCTCGATCCCTGGATAATGTCTGAAACTCCCGAACCCCCACAAATCGAAAATGCTGATAATTACCTTTCACAAGATTGTGTCATCAAAATTTCTAAGTTTCCGGAGGAAAAAAGTATAATCCATGATGCAGTACATAAACGCTTTCCTTTCTTGATATATACCAATTCTAATGTATGGCATCGAGATGTATTTAAGTATACCAATTCAGAAGCTAAATGCCCAGTATGCAAAAAGGTACATACACATCGAGGCATATGGGGTGATTGGAGCTGTCTAGGTAAAGATGATCACTATTTTCTTAATTGTCCATTTCGTATTGATCAAAAGAAAGTTATTATTGCTATACAGAATTTGCCGGAAAGTGTGTCGAACAAACCTCGAGAAACAGAACCTCGCTCACCAACTCATCCAAACAAAAATCGCCTTTATCAGTATGCCATCGAACATGGAATAGATCCCGAAAGATTTTCGGTTATTACAGAGGCTGAGAAAAAAAGGTGGAGCATGGGATGCTTCCGTGGTGATTTGGAGAGAGATATACGATTCTATTGTGGAGGAATAAAAAGGAATGAAGATACCAGAAAATATCATAAATTTTTAACAGATCGGGATAGGCTGGTTGGTGAAGAGTTATCGCGTCGTGGTATACTAAAAAGCGGTTTAAGTACTGCATGGCTCGATGATCTTACGGAAGAATGGGAAAAAATCCACACTCATTTTGTACAAATTTTTAACCAGGAGAGCCAAAGTATACATGTTGTTTGTGCAACCTAATTATACTAGAAATGCGTTGATTTGTTATCCTAATATTAAATATTTTTTTTTTCGTTGATGATGAATTTCACTTAGACCGGATGATCTTAAATGGTGGGTCATTAAACATTACGTCCGAGGTACACATTGTGTCTAATTTTCCTTTTACGTTCTTATAATATAGATGTAATGAAGATGCGATGGAGGTGCGATGAAGTCACGATAAACTTTTTTCCTATATAATTATATGAAAAAGATCCGAGGTTGAGTCGTGTTTGAGTTGCGTTAAAATTTTTCATGTTAAAAAGAATAAAATAAGATTACCACGTGATGGTAGAATTTCGTATTAATAAAATTATGAGTCAATCACAAATAAATCTGTGCGACAATAGATTTCTCATTCGTACTACCTTTCATTACTTGCTATGTCTTTTAACGTTGCAGGTTCCTCCACCAGTGTTCCTGTTATTCCTTCATCTGATCTTCCGACGGTCGAGGGAGTGAGAGGATTTAATGCTGAAGAACTTAATGGCTTTTTGAAAAGGAGGTTAAACGGCATTGATAATCACATAAATACCTTAACAGATCAAGAAGTTGATGGTGAAGCCTTTCTTGACTTAACGCCCGATAGCCTTAAAGCTTATGAGATACCTCTCGGAGCTACTTCAAAAATCGTAAACCTGATAAACAAGATTCAAAATGGTAAGCGAACTTCTCTTGCACGCGCTTTTATATTCGTCAATAATACCGAATACTTACTTCTTCCCGTGCTTTTCTTTCTGCTTCTTATCGTCAAACCCGCCCAAAAAACACATTTACATTATCGTAGATCAACCCGTTGCTGGTGAGTCGTAATAAATTTAGTCGATGGAATGAACGCGTCTTGGCTTGATTTTC